ATGGAGGGCACGTGCTGGTACTGCAAGAAGGTTGGGCATCCTTGGTTCAAGTGCTTCAGCAGGCTGGAGGGATGGGCACCTCCAGGCATGAAGCCGCCCAGTGGTGAACGCGCACAAGGTGGCGCTGTGCAAGGCTCAGGTGCACAAGGTGAAGGTGCACAAGGTAATGCCTATCCTGGTTTGTTTGTTATGGTTGAGGATGTGCATGGGCATGAGGGTGATGTGGGATCTGTGGGAAAGGTTGTGATGCACCCTCTCACGCACTGGGTGATTGATTCGGGTTGCACCAGTCACATGACTCCACGGGCAGATTTGCTTGATGAGGTAAAACCCCCTGGGAAGATTAAGTATGTGGCAGCAGCGTCAGGTGCTTTGCTCCCCGTGATTGGTGTTGGGAATGCCAAGGTTAAGGGAGCTAATGGGGAGCTTGTGGGGCTTGGGAATGTTCTGCTGGTTAAAGGCTTGTCTGCTAACCTTCTCTCTGTGCGGCGACTGCAGAAGAGTAAGGCCGAAGTGACCTTTGGACCAACCAGCTGCCGTGCTAAGCTTGGGAAGAAGGTGCTGTGGAGTCTGGAAGAGGAGACCAGCTGCATCAAGGACCTGTGGCAGCTGCCCATCATCCCTTGGAATGGGAAGACTCCAACAGCAGCAACGGCAGCAGCGGCAAAGGCAACAGCAGGAGGAGATGCAACTGCACCAACTGATGGGGTCCTGGAAGCAGTCAAGAAAGTGCAGAAGCAGCAGACACATGGTGAGGTGCTTGCTGGTGTGGATGCGAGTGCGGCATGGGCTAAGGCTTCACCAAGGAGTGGAGAGGCCGATTGGGAGACATGGCATGAGAGGCTGTGTCATGTGAACTTCCCTATGCTGCAGAAGTTGGTGAAGGATGGGAGCCTGAAGGGCTTGGAGGTGAAAGGGGGAGTGAAGGAGATTGGGAGCTGCCCTACATGCTTGGAGACCAAGTTCTCCAAGTTCCCCTTCAACAGCACTACAGGACCAGCCAAGACCCCACTTGCACTTGTGCACATGGATGTGGTGGGGCCCACAAGAGCCCCTTCCCTCTCAGGCAGCCGCTATTTCTTGACAATTGTGGATGACCACACTTGGGCAGTGTGGGTTTACCCTTTGAAGAGCAAGGGGGAGGTGGCAGCGGCTGTCCTTAAGGAGTGGATGCCGAGAGCTCAGAGGGAATGCGGACACAAGGTGAAGGTGATCCGTAGTGACAATGGTGGGGAGTTCATTGGAGCTGATTTTGAGGGGGAGTTGAAGAGGAAGGGGATCCAGCATCAACTGACAGTGCCCTACAACCCACAGCAGAATGGCGTGGCTGAGAGGTTCAACAGGACCCTGCAGGAGGGGGCACGCACTCTCCTTGGGCGTGCAGGGCTGCCTGATCCGTTTTGGGTGTCTGCACTGAGGCAGGTCGCCCTTGTGAAGAACAGGGTGCTGGCTACAGTTGGAGATAAGGAGTGGATCCCATACGTCAAGTGGTATGGGAGTGCTCCAGCTGTGAACATGCTGAGGGCATTTGGGTGCATGGTGGTGTTTCATGTGCCTAAGGAGAAAAGGGGGAAGTTGGAGGCTTCTGGAAGATGGGGTGTGCACTTGGGGATTGCAAAGGATCACAAGGGGTGGCTGCTATGGGACTTGACCACCCAGAAGTTGACAGTGTCAAGGGATGTGAAGTTTCTTGAGTCCCTGTACTACAAGGAATGGAAGCAGCAGCAACAGAAGCTTCCATCTACACCGCTCATTGTGGAGGCAGATGAGGTGCAGCAGCCTTCAAGACAGGTGGAGGTTGCAGTGTCAGAGGAGGAGATGTCTGGGGTGACTGAGGAAGGGGGAGCAGCTGAAGTAGAGCAGCAGCAGCAGCAGCAGCATGAGTCTCCACCTCGAGTTCCACACCCGCCTGAGCGTCCTAGGAGGGATGTGCGCCCTCCAGTGAGGCTGACCTATGGGGGAAGAGGCAAGCCGAATGTGGTGCAGGCTGGGAGTGTGGTTGAGCAGATTGAGGAAGATGAGATCGCTCACTGCTACTGGGCACCAATCCCTGAGCCCAAGACTCGAGAAGAGGCCTTGAATGGACCAAATGGGGAGAAGTGGAAGGCGAGTGAGGATGAGGAGTTCGGGTCCCTAATTGAGAACGAGACATGGGACCTGTGTGACTTGCCTCCTGGAAAGAAGGCAATCACTTCCAAGATGATCTACAGGCACAAGTATGGACCTGAAGGGGAGCTGACCCGCTACAAGTCTAGGCTTGTGGCACGGGGGTTTCAGCAGACAAAGGGGAAGGACTATGATGAGGTGTTTGCTCCTGTGGGGAAAGGAACAACACTGAGGGTGCTGTTGGCGATAGCTGCACTCCTGGGATGGAAGATTCGGCAGATGGATATTGTGACTGCCTTTCTGAATGGGATCATTATGGAGGAGGTGTACATGAAGCAGCCAGAGGGGCTGGATGACGGGAGCGGCAGGGTCTGCAGGCTGAAGAAGGCCATCTATGGCCTTAAGCAGGCGCCTCGTGCATGGTATCACAAGTTGGAGGAGGCGCTGTTGGCTGGGGGTTTCAAGAAGAGTGAGTGTGACCCCAGCCTGTTCCTGCTGCAGGAGAAGGATGAAATCCTCATGCTCTTGGTGTATGTGGATGATATCCTTCTCTTTTCTGCATCCACTGCTTTGCTGGACAGCGCAGAGCAGATGCTGGAGATGCAGTTCAAGTGCTCCAAGATGGGTGAGGTGAAGTACTACTTGGGGATGCACGTGGAGAGAGATGTGGAAAAGGGTGTGCTGAGGTTGCACCAGAGGAAGTACTGTGAGGGGCTGGCTGAGAAGTATGGGCTGCAAGATGGGGGAAAGCCAGCAACACCACTACCTTCAGGGTTTACTGTGGAGCCATGTGCTGATGAGGAGGTAGTGGGTGATAGTGACAGGAAGCTGTTTCATTCGATGGTTGGGTCGCTGAATTATGCTGCAAATCATACACGGCCTGACATTGCATTTGCTACATCACGATTGGCTAGTGTGGTCTCACGCCCTAGTCATGAGCAGCTGGAAGCGGCCAAGAGGTTGGTCCGCTATGTGAGCGCTACGGCATCAGTGGGATTGGAGTACAGTGGAGTGAGGCAGCGGTTGCAGAGAGGTGCTGCAGATGTGAAGAGTGGAGAGATGCTCTTGAGTTGCTATACTGACGCTAGCTTCAACTCAGTGAAAGCGGATGGCACCAGCATTGGGGGTTATGTGTGCTTGCTAGGAGGTGGTGCTGTGAGCTGGCGCAGCAAGAAGCAGAATGAGGTGGGATTGTCCTCATGTGAGACTGAGTACATGGCCTTACACCATGGGGCCAAGGAAGTAGTGTGGCTAAGGCGTTTGTTGGAGGAGTTGGGAGTTGGTCAGGAGAAGCCGACAGTTGTGTTTTGTGACAATGAGTCCGCTGTGAAGCTCGCCAAGAATGCTTGTCTGCATGGGCTGACAAAACACATAAGGCCTAAGTGGCATTGGGTGAGGAGACTCCTTGATAAGGAGGTGCGGCTGGAGATAGTGAAGACCCATCAGCAGGCAGCAGATATTTTCACCAAGCGTCTGGCGGAGGCGGATCATTGGAAGGGCATGAAGCTTGCTGGGATGAGTGTGCATTGAGTATGCATGCTTGAGATGTTGGTATGGTGGATGATGGTTGGCAGCCAGAGGGGGAGATTGTTGTGTGATGTCATCATATGCTATCACATTCTGTCTGCCTCCCATCCCATATTTTTTCAACTTGCATGTGTGGTTTGAACGTGTGCAAGAATTTGTGTGTGATGTGTTCTGGAGTTTGGGAATGTGTTTTGTGTTATTTTGTTTGAGCAGGTTTTTTGTGATGATAGATCTTGAGAAGATCTTTCCGACGCAACGAGAATCCCTTCAATCGGAGCAAGAACGCGAAAGCTATGAAGATTCAAAGTTCATGAGCTTGCGTTACAATTGCGGCGGTTACAAAGTGAAGTTGTGGGGTGACTCTATATGGAGTTGGGACCTTTGGGGGTTTGGGAAATTTGTCACTCTACTGTAACAGCTGCAAATTGGTTGGGAACAACCAAGCTAGGTTGGCAAGGGTGGCCAACTTGGATGGATTGGTTGGGAAGGGACAAAGGTCAAAGTTGAGGTTCCTATAGGGAGGGAATCTTTGTGCTTATGGGGTTTCCTTGGTTGGGGACTCTCTTGGGACCTTCCCTCTCGTCCCTCTCTTTCTATCCCAACCTTTCTCTTGCTCCTCAAATTCCTTGTGAGATTCTTGAACTTTGATTGAACTCTTGAGATTGAGTTAAGTTCTCCTCCTACAGCTTACCCCCTAGTGCGTCGAAAGCCATAGCGTCGCGAATACTTCATCAATCAACGTGATTCAAATTGGGAACGGTAGCTGAGATCAAGAGCTACAACATATCCAAGTTTCGCGACATTCCAACGGCTAGTGTTTTGTCGACGTCGTTTCTTGTGAAGACGACTTTTCTGTCCAGAATTTCGGATTTATATTTTGAGTAATTCTAGCTCCTAAGTTCACCTAGACTCTGTCCTTAATCCTAACAAGTACGAGCAAGAACCAGGCACGTGCAAAGAGCGGAAAACGAGGTGCAACGAGGGAGGGACGAGCCGAAACAGGAGCGAGACACTATTGCCAGGGTTACAGAAAAATCCTAGATAGAGTGTAATTGCTCTTCCCCTAAAAGCTAACCAATTGCAGGTCAGCAAAGTTACTAGCTCCAATAGAGGAATACACAAGCAATTCATTTAAATAAAGCCTTGAAGTATTGCTGTGGAAAAAAATGTTACCAGTTTTAAACGTATCCAATTACCTAATCACGTATCTTCAAGTATTTGAATCATGAATTTTAATAGCGGACAAATGAAACCAAAATGGAAAGCAAAAGGTTGGGGGGTAGGAGGGGGGGATGAACATTTTCAATATGTGCAAAATAAGGGTTGATACATGCAACCCATCCGACGATTATGCCATGTCATGTTTTTTTTTTTTTTTTTTTTTTTTTTTTTTTTTTTTTTTTTTTTGTTGCGGAGCAACCTATTGCAATCGATCGTACGAGATGTTTTTTCAAGTTTTATCAAGTTTTATGAAAAAAGGATATTAATTGAAGCAAAATCATGGGGAGTATTGGCAATATATTGTGGATGACTCATCTAAACTACATAGCTTCATTAGCTTAGCTTGGCAAAAAACTGAAACATGTCATATAACTACTACAATATAATACTTGAAACAATGATGGAAAATTGTTAATGTTTTCCATCATTTCGCAATATGTGGAAGGGGGTAATTGAAACGTGTAATATAGTGTACTGTAGTAATTACACTCTAGTATTGGAAATTATTACAGAATAATGGAAAACAAAAACAAAAATGTAAATGTTTCCCATCATTTCGCGTGGCGTATTTTTGTCGGCGACAAAAATAGGCAATCGCTTCCCCAGCTAAGTGGGGGAAGTTGAAAGCCTAATGGACAGATCACACAATTGTTTTTTAGGCAATGCACTTTGCGATTGGAAGAAAATAGATTGCACTTATCATCTCCAGTTCAATTGACTGCACTCAAGGTGGAAACTCAAAGAACCTTACTTGAGACGATCAGTACAATATTTTTGATTGCATACACAAAATGCACTACACGTGTATCAAGCAAGCAGTAGCAGAATGGAGAAGGGCAGCAACGCAAAGCAAATGGCAGCGACACAACACTTGGACCCCAAAATGCATCACGAGAAAGAAAGGCGACAACTAGAAGCAATTGAAACATGTTATGTGATGTGGCAGTCTACTGTAGATAAAACGCACAGTTGGAAACCAGAGATCCTTTCTAACGGCATTCCTGAAGCACCAACACACGTGGCAAAAAAAAAAGATAACACGAAAAGAACACAAGTTTAGTTGAGAAGATAATGCATGGAAGAACTCGGGAAATGGAAATGAGGATTGAAGAAATGAGAGGTGAAAAATGGGACGAGAGAGAGAGAGAGAGAGAGAGAGAGAGAGAGAGAGAGAGAGAGAGAGAGAGAGAGAGAGAGAGAGAGAGGAGAGAGAGAGAGAGAGAGAGAGAAAGAGAGAGATAGAGAGAGTGTTAGAGAGGGAGATAGTGGAAGAGAAAGAGAGGGGGAGAGGGAGGGAGAGAGGTAGAGAGAGAGAGGGGGGGGGGAAGAGAGAGTGAGAGGGGCAGGGAGAGAGAGGGAGGTAAAGGACAAGAGGGAGAGAGGTAGAGAGAGAGAGAGGTTTAGAGAGAGAGGGCAAGAAAGGTAAAGAGAGAGGGGGGGGGGGGGGGGCAGAGAGAGTGAGCGGGGCATTCAGAGAAAGGGAGGTGAAGGACGAGCGGGAGAGAGGTAGAGAGAAAGGGGTAAAGAGAGAGTGGGCAAGAAAGGTAAAGAGAGGGAGAGGAGGGGCGATAGAGAGATAGAGAGAGAGAGAGAGAGAGAGAGAGAGAGAGAGAGAGAGAGAGAGAGAGAGAGAGAGAGAGAGAGAGAGAGAGAGAGAGAGAGGCAGAGAGAGTGAGCGGGGCATTGAGAGAGAGAGAGGTAAAGGACGAGAGGGAGAGAGGTAAAGGACGAGAGGGAGAGAGGTTGAGAGAAAGGGGTAAAGAGAGAGAGGGCAAGAAAGGTAAAGAGAGAGAGGTGGGGAGAGAGAGGTTGAGAGAGAGAGAGAGAGAGAGAGAGAGAGAGAGGGGCGGGTAGTAGAGAGAGGGGGGGGTAGTAGAGAGAGATAGATACCGAGAAAGAGAGAGCGAGAGAGAGAGAGAGAGAGAGAGAGAGAGAGAGAGAGAGAGAGAGAGAGAGAGAGAGAGAGAGAGCTAGCTATAAAGGCCCTCTGCTCCCTACTCATCCTTCATTATTCTTTTTAGCCTTTGGCAAGTTCCCTGGTTTTGGCGGCCGGCTCGCGCCGGCGGCCTCCGGCGCTCGCGGCGCGGCCGTAGGCCGCGCCAAAGGGGGGGAGTTGTGTACAGCGAGAGGCAACACATACATTTATAAGACACCAGCATTTACATCATCCTAGGCGATACATAAAAATCTTTCCCGGATAAGTCCGCGGACACACCCTCTGTACCCCTCCCGTGGCGTGCGAACTCCGCCATGGGAATGACGAGAGTGAAAACCGGTCCGCTAGTCAACCCGGGGGGAGCAGCCGCGCCATCACCAGCCTCACAGCACGGAGAACAGATGCTGCAGCAGCCGCAAGGCCAGACGCAGTCTCGGCCGACACAGCACGGGACAACGCCGTCACAGCAAGGGGTGCGGCAGCCGCCTCGTCCACCGCCACCCGGGGCTGCAAGGGCACGTACACCAGGCCCCACAGCAGCATGGCGACGGCCTGCTCGGCCCGAGCACACTGTCGTCGGGACAGCACGGGATCCTGCGCCACCGGAGGCCGATGCTCAAGGGCAGCGTGCAGCAGATCTAGCAGCTCCGCCACCCAGCCAAGACAGTCCGCGAGACCGACCAGCTGCTGCCGACGACCATACTGCGGGCCGTCCCTCGCGCGGCGCAACCATGGAATCTGTGGAGGGGGGGAACGTCGCACCCGCACACCACGAGGAAGACCCACTGGTGACGCGACTACACTTGGAAGCAGCCCGCGAAATCGAGGGTCAGGCAGGATGCCCCGACGGTACCCGCTTGATGCCGTGCCACGTGTCGTTGGAGCGGGCCGATGACCACCTGGCGCAGTCCCAATAGTCACCATTGACGCCACAAGGGTTGGCGCATCCAACACACGCCGATGGCTGCGTGGCAAGCGCAAGAGATCCATTACCGGCAATGGTGATAACGGCACCGGCGCCAACGGAGGAGGAGGCCGACGGCCAGGCAGCAGCAAGGGGTGGGAGGGGTCAAGGAGCGGCACTGCACAACGGTGGGCAGAGAGGACGGCAAGGCAGGGGACGGAGTAGGCGCCGAGGGCGAGGCGGACAGACACGGAGCGACGGAGGGCCTAGGAACGGGTTCCAGCACGCCGCGCAAAGGGCTTTAAGACGAGCGGAAGAAGCAACTGCTGAAGAGGAAGCCGCAGACAGGACTTACATACCCGATGGCCAGGCCGAATCGAGCACAGACGAAGTCCGCTCGCAGGCTGACGAGCCAGCACCAGCCAGCCGACGGCCCCGAAGCGGATCTCGCCCAAGCGGGGAACTGCCGCAGGGCCAGAATGCACGGGCCCCGCTGGCGTCAGGATTCTCGCAAGTAGCTGCGTTGTCTCCTGAGCAGCTCGCAGCGGACGAATCACGCTTCGCCGGCATCGCCAGCTGGGACTTGCTGCCCCTGTACGACAGCCGACAACCCCCCATTTGCCGCCGAGTCCCGCCAAACCTTCGCCCACTCCTCGCACTCGCCCTGCTCATCCCACTCCTGCACCTGGCGAAAAATCCGAAATCAACACCGGGGTGGCGGCTGTTACTCTTCACCCCTCGCCTGACCCTTCGTCTGGGCTTGCCACGGAAACCAGACTGGAAAGAAATCGCAAGACGGCTACGCTTGTTCCTCAGCGGTGATTGGGAGCCACTGTACCGAGAGGCAGTTGACTCGGTCAACCTGCCCCCACCCCCTCGCCACGTCGCTGACAACCTCAGCAAAATTGCACGCGCAGAGGGCCTCGCGAAACGTGGCAGCCTGCGGCGAGCTGTCCTCGCCCTCGAGTCCACGCCGGTCAGCACCCCTTCCGCAGCGGTACTCGAGGCGCTGAAAGCGAAACACCCCACCTCGCTGGCCTACTCGGTTACCTGGCCCGAGCTTGCCCAATCGGAAAGCCCACTCTCCCTCGACAAACCTACCTTCGCCAAACTGCTGTACTAGTGCGAAAATGGAGTTGGAGCCGGTCCGTCGGGCATGACATTTGAGCACCTGCGCGACGCCGCTTTCACAGACACGACAGTAGCGGACGGCCTCTACTCCCTCGTCACCACGGCTATGAAAGGGGACCTACCAGAGGAAGTGGCCGAGCTCCTCACCCCCTCACGGCTTATCGCACTGGTGAAGCCCGACGGTGGCACCCGCCCTATTGCAGTGGGCGAGTGCCTGCACCGCATCATCGCCAAAAGTGGACTGGTCGCTATAACCGAGGCGGCGCGCAGGCACTTCCTACCCCTACAGTACGGAGTGGCGGTCCCGGGTGGCGGAGAGGCCGTCGTCCACTCCACACGCTGTTTCTCCACTGCCCAGCCAGACTCGCCAGCAACAGCCCGCCATTGCTCAGCGAGCGGGGCGTCCGCCAGGGAGACCCGCTCGGCCCGCTACTCTTTGTGGCGGGGATGCATCCCGCGCTCCAGGCGACGGCCCGCGCCTTCCCGCACGTGCTGACCCTAGCGTACGCGGACGACGTAACACTCGCCGGCGAACCAGCTGCATGCACCGCAGCCTTCGCCCACTTCACGGTGGGACTGTGCAAGCTTGGCTTGACGCACAACCCAGCTAAATGTGCCGCTTGGGCACGCAACCGCCCCACGGCACCGGAACTCCCCCCAAACATCCCTTTCAATGGGGAAGGGCTGCAAATACTCTGCAGCCACGTCGGACCAGACAACAGCGCAGTGGCATTCCTCCGGACTCGCATGGCTTCGCTCACCTCCCCACTTGCGCTTCTCTCCGACATGGACCCCCAAACCAGCGCCCTCCTCCTATCCCGCTGCATCAGCAAGCGCGTGTCATACCTCATCCGGACGACCCCTCTGCAGCTCCTCCACGCAGAAGAATGGTCGGCTTGGGGGCAGAGCATGTTCCATGCCCTTCTCCAGGCGTGCGGTCTGCGCCCGCCCCGGGGGGAGCAGGAGCTGGCCCGCACATGGGCGCAGGCATCTTTACCCCCGTCCCTAGGGAGGCTCGGCATCACTGACCCACTGGTGGAAGGGACTTATTCCTTCCTTACTAGTGCGCACCACACCCACGCCCTTCTGACCTCCCTCCGACCCGCGCCAGACACCCCACTAGCGATGGCCGCTGCCCAGCTCGCGCCACCATTCACGGGCCCCTCGCCCTACCACGCGTGGCTGTCCGAGGCGGAAGCGGCCCTCCCACCACCCGCACGCTTGCTGCTCCAGAATGAGCGACTGGAGCCCACAGACAAGCCCCTACAGCACCGGTTGGCACTGGAGGTGCAGGCCCAGCGATACGCCGACCAGGTAGCGGAGACCCGAGGGATGGACCCCAACCCATACATGGGCCACACCCAGCGGATGCTCTCCCTCTCGGGCTATGGAGCAGGAGACTGGCTACAAGCGATCCCACTGTCCCCGTCACTGCGCCTCGCACCCGCACACTTCTCCATAGCCCTGGCCTTCCGCCTTGGCCTCCCCTTCTCCACGCCCCGACGTTGTGACTGCGTGCACCGCACCGAGATCACGGACCCGCGGCTCCCGAACCACCGCTTTCGCTGCGGCACCGGACACGGGCGGACCGACACACACAATGAGTTGCGGGATGAGTGCATACGCATGGGCCAGGATGCGGGGTTCATCGTCTACAAGGAGACCACCATCTTCTGCCCCGTCGATGGCCACAAGGCGGACCTTGCCATCCGAGACCGTGGGACGGCCGCAGTATGGATCTGCGACGTCACTGTAACGGACCCAATCGGAAGCCGGGACCCCACAGCCCGCAAGGGCCGTGGACATGCAGCACGCGAGCTCGCAGATAAGAAAATCGACCACTACAAAAATCGGGCGGCCTATGTGGGTTTCTTCCCTTTGGCAGTCGAGACGTACGGCTGCCCGTGCTGGGAAGTGCCGGCCTTCCTCAAGCTCCTAGCAGAGGCGGCCGCTCGGAAGCTCTTCAATGCAGCGCCCGCCACTTATCAGGCAGCTAAGCTACTGCACCAGTTCTGCCAGCGCTGGTCCTGCACCCTCCAGCGGGCCCAGGCCTCGTCCTACCTCAAGAAGGTGAACGAGGCGGCCCAGGTAGAGGATCCACCAATAGACTCACCTCATGAGTCCCTCTCCCCGGCTGGCTGTTTTGCGGTCTTAGAGCCGGCGCTAGAGTGGCAGTAGGTAGGTAGTTTCTTGGTATATTCCTTCCTTGCCGACAAGTGCCTAATATGTACTCAGGTTCCAGAGTGGGTGAATGGGAGAATGAGTAAACGAAGACATTAGAGAATAAATGAATAAGAGAAAGAGTGAGTGTGTGAAAAGGGAAATGAGGAATGGAGAATTCAAGGAGGGGATGGAAGGCAGGTAAGACAAGGGAGGCGTGGGAAGTGATGGACGGGGCGCAAGC